CAGGACTGTTCTAGAAGACCCTGCCAAACTCCCATTTGAGATCAAACTATGTTTGAAATCAAACTATGATGAGATTTGGCCAGTTTCACTGGTGTTCCCCAGACATCATAACATGATTTAATTATTTTTACATTTGTAAGTCATACCAGGCATTTTTCATTTTAAATTGAGTCAGGAGAGGGGCCTTGAGACTTTAGGTGTATGAGAGATTGCTAGGGTTGTACGTTAGAAAGTTTTAAAGGTTTTGGGTTTGCATAATGGATGTTATCTCTGAAACGGATTGAACCACTGCCCTGTTCAAGTCATCTCTTGATTCCATTGGTTTCTGTGGTTTGACAAGCTCCTCTATAACTGCCTTGGGAATTTCAATCTAAAATTATAATTCACTAAATCAGCTTTTCAGCCCATTTGCCATGAATTAAAAGCAGGCGCTTGATTTTTTTTTTCCTTAACACTCACTAGTTAGGGTTGCTGTTGTCCGCAGCCACAAAGGGTGAGGAATGATAGGTACCGCCAAGGCTATTTGGTTGTTTAAGCAATCAGAGTTTATTGATAAAGGGGAAGAGAACAAGGAGCGGGGATAAAGAGGAACAGAAGAAGGAGCGGGGAAGCACACAGCAGATTGGTACTTACAACATCCACACCACAATCAGCCAGGAAGTCCCAATAGTTTGTACGGCGGGCGGATTTGCCTACAAAAGACACACACAGAGTTACAAAATCAATAAAAGATTAACGAAAACATCTGCAATAAAAAGGTTGACAAGGGACCTTCATCAAAGAATATATCTTTATGTCATAAAGGGTTCCTATAAATTGAAAAGAAAAGAAAGCAATGCAACTGGGAAAAAAAGGGCAAAGGAAATAAAAAAGGAAATTTACAAAGTCATCCCAACAGCCATGTAGGGGCACTATCCTGAGTGCCCTTTAAGAGCCATGTGTCATCCTGGGCAGGATGCCAACCATCTGGACAGGACACCCAGCTGCTGAGATTTGTAAGGATCCCAGGCTTGGCCAGCCTGGATCTTACCTTATCTCACTCAAAGACCATCATGTCTTAAAGAAACACAGAGCCCCTCCACATGAACTACTGTTCCTGGGAATGCTGGCTGTAACAGGGACAGCTCCTCTTGGCAAGCATATAGCCTTTGTGCCCCTTCCTATAGAAGCAACCCCCTCCCGACCTGAGGTAGCAGGTACACACTTCCATCTAGCCGGCCACCACTGGACATTCCCTGTTAAGTAACTCCTAATAAACCCCTATGTCTTGTTTGCCATCTCCAGGTCTTTTCTTTGGTCTGTCTGCAGCCTATCCCACACCGCTCACCCAACTGGGCATGCGGCCAGGCAGGCCAATAAAACTAAGGAAAGATACTCCATCCACCTCACTAGCCTTCAAAGTGATAGAAAGCTTTAAAATAATAGGACATCATTTCAGCCTATCAGATTGGTAGAAATTTTAGAAAATAACAATACCCAGTGTAAGTGAGGGTGTAGGGAAAGAGAATCTTGACCCACCTTTGTGAAAGTAGGAATTCATAAAAAGGTCTTGAAGAACAGTTGGGCAGTAGCTAAAATTCATAATGGCCAATTCTTTGAGCAAACAGTTCCTGCAGATATGCACATATACATATGTTTCCTACAATCCTGTTTAATACAAAAACATAAAAAAGACAGCAATCTAAATGACTATCAGTAGGAAAGAGATTAAGTGGAATTTCCACGCAAAGGAGTACTATAAAGCCATTAGAAATAATGAAGTAGATTCCTACAGGCCGACATGAAAAGACAGCCATGATTTACTGGGTATGAAAAAAAGCAAGTTGCAAAACAGTATGTATAAATTATTCACTGTTAATTAAAGTTACATGTAATCTATATTTGTATATAGAAATTTAGAGTCATTCATTCAACAAATACACAGTGAACTACAACATATATTTATTCGATGTGTATATACATTCATTCAAAACAAGAGTACTGAACCTCTTATGTGCCAGGCCCTGGGTTGCATTTAAGTGTGCATCTATTTACCTGTCTCTGGGTATACTGCTCATCTGTAGGAGAACACACTGAATAGTGGTTATCTTCTGGGGGTGGGTGAGATTATGGAGGGTCTTTACTTTCTATTTCATATATTCTACGTTATTTCATCAAAAGGAACTCAAAGTATTAGATCTTTTGTTACAGATAACCATTCTGACACAAATATTAACCAAATATGTAGAAAATGATAGCAAAAGTGTGGAAAAGCAAAGAGGCCAGCAAACGGCAAAGCCTGAATAGGTTCTACTTCCAACTGTATGAGGGAAACCAAGGATGGGGGAGATGTTTTCTGTACAAACTTAATTGTGAATGTGATTAGCAGAAGGAAAGAAGGACTGAAGCACTGTGGCTGTGTGTAAAAGGCAGCTTATCGAGCTGTGATGTTCCTGATGTTATTGTGTTGACCATCCGAGAAGACCATCCTCTCTAAGCATGTTTTCTGACCTGATTTTTTTTTTTGAGGAAGATTAGCCCTGAGCTAACTACTGCCAATGCTCCTCTTTTTGCTGAGGAAGATTGGCCCTGAGCTAACATCCGTGTCCATCTTCCTCTACTTTATACGTGGGACGCCTACCACAGCATGGCTTGCCAAGGGGTGCCATGTCCGCACCCGGGATCGGAACCGGCGAACCCCGGGCTGCCGAGAATATGCGCACTTAACCCCTGCGCCACCGGGCCAGCCCTGATCTGAATTATTAATAACCCCATTGATCTTCTCTCTGTCAGACAAAGACTGAAAATGATGGAAGATTCAACCATAAGTTGAAAGGCTTAGAAATGAGGAAGTGTTGTTGGAAACACTCATAATTAAAACTTGAGGGGAAAAGTTGACTGCAGGGGCTGAGGAGGTAACAGAAGTGAGGGAAGTAGGTAAGGTATAAGACAACGGGGAGGGGTGAGGACAGAAGTGGAGAACGCACGACCCCTCACAATGAGGCGGCCGCTGCTCAATTATTGCCACGTAGGAGTTCAGGTCTAATGTTGCCAGATGTAACTTTTCCAAGGAAAGCTGGAAATCAAGATTCTCATGAAAAATCTCCTGTTTTTGAAATGTTGGCAGCTAATTTAAATTTTTTTAAAAAGATTTAAGATTGGGGACCTATGGACATTTAAGAAGAGTCATACGAGCAATTGTTCTAAATTCCTCCATGGTAACTGCAATAAAAGTCTAAATGTATCAGCAGAAGCACATGCTGTATGACATCGTGTATGCACACACATGCCCACAGATACAGACCATCTTTAAGAAGGAAAGGGGGGAAAGCCAAAACAGTTACATAGTCCGTACTGTATCACTTAGGTCAAGGATACTTACCCATTTGAAGTGTCTCCTCTGAATGTAAGTCTAAATTGGTTTTTGATAGGAGAGACTTGAATCTATGGGAAGATGGGAGAGAGAAGGCTAAGTCAAGTAGCTCATTTACTCTAAAAATGCAGAGGCCCACTACAGAGATGGGACTTGTATACTGCTACTGTTCAAAGCAAGGGCCACTACAGAAGGCCTTCTGTTTAATTACATTTGACCACGTACAGCAAAAATCCAGCGGATACAGCTCTCGGGTTAGGTCAGCTAAGCATTACACTCAGAATTTGATGTCAAATTGCAAACTGATCATGAAATACTTAGAAATAGCTACAGATAGGATAGCATGCATTTTCCAAATGTTCCAGCGTTTTTCAGGTCATCCCAAGTTTCTTGCCTCTTCTCAAACAAAATTTTTAAGATAGCTATTGTTTCTCACAGATAACAAAAATTGACTTTCACTCAGACCTAAAGTTCAGTAACATTTATGTGATAACTCCCTCAATGAAGAATATGTAAAAAATCAGAAATCGGAGAGCCAAATTCATTATACCAATAACCATACACAAACACAGGTGCGTTTTTCACCCCAGGAAACCGTGTCTGGCCTTGATTTAGAGCCTACTTACTCTTACTTCACTCAGAGTTTTAACAAGCTTAGTAGTACTTTGCAGTTCCCAGAGCATCAGAATTGCCATATATTATCCAAAAAGCCTATTTAATGTAAAATGCAATTTTATATTTGGAAAGGGTAAAAAACTTATTT